TAGTACAAAATGTCCATTGTAATGGTAATAAATTAAGTTTCACTTTCCACCTTAGTTTGTAATTTTTTTTTCTAAGCTGTAATTTTTTTTCTGAGCAATAACTTTACTTTCCCAACAAGTATTTGTTTCCCATCACAATTATGAATAATTTGTAGTGTCTTTTTTTATGCTGCTCATCCCTCACTAATCATTTTATTTCTTTCTTTTTGCTTTTTCTTTTCTTTCTTTTCTAACTTACTGCCATCTGCAACATAAACTGTAGTAAGCTAACGGAATACTTCTGGTTTTTATAGCTCCCTGATTCACAAAGTAACATTACCATCTTGGTACTACTAGAAAACAAATTTTTAAAAAAACAAATGTTTAAAAAACAAAAGTACTGTAAGGTAAAATAATTATAATGATATAATTTAATCGATTTATGTGAATAAAGCACTGTCTTTTCTCATATTTTCTCATTGTCTTTTCTCATATTGCAACAGCCTTGAATGAATCAACTATCTTCTAAACTTGATTTCTTATATTCAGAAGCTGCCTGAATTATAAACAAAGAACTTAAGTTGGGTGTTTATGGAGGTGGAAAGAACATAATGATTATGATGATTAACCTTCCAAATTACAAATGTCAGAGGAAAATTATCAGAAGTATTTCTGAAGTCAAAGTTGTTTCTTAAAAATGTTCAGGAGAAAATTGATTAGATTAAGACAGCTGTCAATTCCCAGTTAACACTAAGTCATGAGGAGTAACCAAAAGCTCGTAATTAGCCTGTCTACTGCTGTGCTCATCCTGTCAAATAAAAATCAGGGATGGGATATTCCCAAGCGTAAACAATGATAGCACCATACAAATGTCCTTTTCCCAACTTATTACTGGGGAGGGGAGCACTGGTATGGCTACACTAGTTGTAGTCAATAAGAAATTTTTAACTAATTTCGGCAATATACATATATTTTGCCACCTCAGAGAAAGAAAATGGCATCAAGTCAAATAGGAATGTTTCATAACAATGTTCTGTAGGGACATGATGTAATATTACTGATGGGGATCATAATTATCCTTACAGTGGCAGAGCATGTGATGTGTATGTAAAGAAAAGCAAAGCTAATCTTAAAAAAAATGAATGGGAGAAGAGTAGTTGATTATTTGCATAAATTAATGCAATGCACATGCAGGATCTCTTCCACCAACACTGCCTTGAGCGATCTCTTACCTCCCCAGAGAACACTGCAGTTGAGAACTAGGTCGCATAATTATATTTTGCCTAAGGTTCAGACAAGCTGTTTTAAATCAGTTTTTATTAATAGATGTCTTTTCAATAGTAATTAATACCTTTTCATTTTCCTTATTTGTTCTATTCATGTTAATTGTTGCATGTCTGTTTGCACAATAATTCTTAATAAAGACCTTTATTATTATTATTAAGATAGTGGAATATACTTCAGATAAACATACATGTGCCTGTAAGAGTTTCAAATGACTGAGTTATAAAAACAACAATAATAATAATAATAATAATAAAAAAGTGGGTTTCATTGAAAATGCTTTCGTGTAAAGCAATTAGCTGTTTGGGAAATTAAAGTAGCTGTTGTTGCAACAGAATAACGCTTGTTTGGTGATGTTCACAAAGGAAGTGGAAATCGAAGAAATTCTGAATTGTTTGCTGCGCTAAGGCTTGACAAAGATTATTATATAGGCGATTGATTGAGGCCGCTGAAAATATGCAATATTTAAGACCGTCCAACATGACCGGTTCATTTATAATTTATCTTGAATTAAGCCTTTATTGACAGAAGTTGATAATAGATCTCTGTTACATGTCTTTGGTACGTTTGGTGGGCCTGTTCATGAGATAACTTGTTGATAAAACTGCAAGTATATGAAGTGAACAAATGTTTTCATATTTTGATTACGGACACCCGTTCTTAAAGGCACAGAAAATCAGAAGGGTGGAATGGCGAAAAATCAGTCTATAAAGGTAAAATTCTCATCCAAGCGAATAATTACCAAAATGAAAAGGCACCGCACGTCGGCGCAAAGTGAGTGTATGAATATTTTCACAACACAATAATTACCTGTATCNGCATATACCTTCCCACAGAGTAGCTTTCACACCACGCAAAGGAAAGTTGGATGCCATGTTCTTGTCAAACCCGTTTGCAGGGCCGCCATTGTCTGTTGTGAAAATGATCACAGAGTTATTGTACAAACCGTTTGCTACCAGGGCTTCTGTTACCTAAATACAAGAGAAAGCGATAGATATCAACTCAGTTAAGTACAAAATACTTAAGAGGCTATACGTTAAGAAGGAAAAGCCAGAAGTGTTATGTTATTGGGCAAGATACTCAAGTGTCACTCTCCACCTAGGAGTTGAAATGGGTACCAGTGAGCGGTCAGGAAGCCAAAACGAAATGCTAAGGAGGGGGGGGGGGGGACTAAAGCTCCTCCCAGCCCCTCCCTTTGTCTAGTTCCTGCCAGACAGTAGTCTTACCCTGTTTTTTAGGGAAATTGACAAGTAACACTTCACTATGGAGGCTACTATTATAATCTTTAATTTGATTAACAATGGGTATATAATTTGATTTACAGTGGTACATAATGGTCATGCCTCTGTATGATTCGGGAGATGCCCATCTCACCATAGAAGAAGTGAATATAAACGTTCACATATTAAACTCCTGCTACGATGGTGGACCCGGATGTCTTCAGAAAAATTTAAACTCCATAATTTTTAAGTTCACTTGTAAAGAATACTCTTTTATTAAGTACTTATAAAGCAGTTAGTAAATTAGTGTAAAGTCTGTCCATCAGAGTCCTTTAACTGACGGGTTTGTGTTTCATGTTTTGACAGGTACCTGATGACTTTCCTTGGGAAGCTTTCTGAAAACAGCGATGTCAATAAAATGAGTGCAAGTAATATTGCCATTGTCATAGCACCTAACCTCATATGGTCATTAGAGGATGAAGGGTAAGAAGTCACAATTAAAATCGTATTAATTCAAGAAACTTACCAATAACTGATTGTTTAGTTATCTGATGATTTATTTCGAAAATTTATTATTGTCGGGCGTGATTCTCTTTTAGCCATCTTATGAAGGGTGAGAGCACCTCAGGACAGTGGCGTCCGTCAAAACTATGAATTTTATAGATTTGATCTCTCTCTATTTTTACAATGGTGAGAAAATAATGCCTTTTCAATACGCACAAGGCCCAAAATAATTTCCCCCGATGCTTTATTCCACATTTTCTGTGCCTTATGTAGACCTGTTAGCAACTTAACAACGCTCACACGAAGAACGTTTTACTAGGATCGTTAGATTAGATACTGAAAATTGATAATTAATTTTGTATTTGTTTCTCTTTAGTGGTGTAAACGTCATACACACTGGTGTCCAGTCATCGATTGTAGAGGCGTTAATTCAACATTAAAGCTGGTTTTTCCCTGGGGGTGAGTAATGTTCATCTTACGTCAAGATGAACCTGTTTCCCTGACACGCTTTCCGCTAATCTTTCGGTATTTTGTTAACTTTCCTTTTTCAGCCGACACGGTCTCAACAATCTCCACTTAGTTTCCACATGCGTAAAACAAAAATCGTCAAATTTCGTGTTCTAATTTTTTTTGCAATCGAAAATTGAATGTTTTATTCTAGCAAAAAAATTCCAAACTTATTTTGCTGAGTCTCTCTTTGATCGTTAAGAACTAAACCGGGGAGCGGTACCCAGTCACTTCGCTAACATGTCAACTCGTCAACACTTTTGACAACTCCGCGAGTTGACCAGAGGTGTACGTGAGTTGGTTGTGTTGTCGGCGAGTGACCGGTTACCACTGTACGTTGTTAAGGCTTAACTACCTTGTACTTTTCACTTATTCTTAGGATGTTGAATGTCTCTTTCCCTGCAGAAATAGACTTCTCTCGTAAAACCGCTTCAGCGACAAATGGTGTTAATCAGGGTTTTCCTGAGAAGTGCAAGAAAGGCCCAGGGGACTATAAGAGTGTCACAGGCGACTTTTTAGAAGAGGTAGTGAGTCTAGTAAATAAGAAGTGCGTCGATGACTCTGGTACTCCCGCTCAAAAGTAAGTTCCTTTCGGTGTGTTTGCAATTTATCACTGCATGAAGTGAGTATGAGAAGAATAAAACTGGAAAGAATTTCGTGTAAGTGAACGGACCTTCTCAAGCAATGCCGGACATCCAAGCTGGCAGTCAAAGAAATAAGTGGTTGCTGGACTGCTGCTTTTTTTTTTTAGTCTCACGATAAAGCGGTTGAAATACAGGTGGAGGCATTTAACTGCTTTCTTCCAAACCGGCTTCTTCTAGTCCTTTCATTCGACTACTGCTTGACTTATCAACGGCTGAGCCTGATTTACGGCTTGCAGTCATTATGTCGCCTTCTATATAGCAGTCGTCTCTTGTATTCATCACCTGGTTTGCAGTCACCAATTAACTTTGTCTTTCCTTTGTTTGAAAATTATTTCAGTTCCCAAGAGTCGGAAACAGCCAAGCCAGCAATAATTGATGTGGAACAAACTAACACTCCTCCACCCAAGAAAAAAGGCACCCCTCCACCCCTGGTCAAATTTATGGGCTCTTCGAGTCCAGGCCCTAGCTCTTCCGCTCCACCTCTAGCCGGTCTCAAGCCCGTCGCAACTTCAGTTGGGCCCCCAAGACCCACAAACGCCCCTCCACCACCCCCATCAAGACCAGTTAAAAGAGAAGCCAAGTAAACGTGGCCATGTTAGGAAACAGAATTTAAGCAATGATGCCAACGACTGAAAAAACTAATGGAAGGCTTTTGTACAGTTAAATTGGCCATTATTGAATTATTACCTTTATCAGGAATAATAATAAAGACAGCCGTCCACTTCTATCCTGCGAAGATGAGAGGGCAGGATGTAAAAGGGGAGGGGGGGGGAGGATGCTCTAGCAAGTGTTCCACATGAGAAGGATGAGTAAGATTTCCAGAATTTTCATCTGGGCTTCTGTTGTTTAACCAAGTTACAGGCAGGTTTTTCGCCTGTTGAGTTAATTTCAATTACATTGGCATTGCTTTTAGGAAGTTGATATTTTTGATTTTATATTTCTAGGCATTGAGATGGTGCAACTTTTTAGACGATGTTGTGCTTTATAGTTTTAGAAGTTTGTGGTGAATTGATATAATTTACTCTGAAGACGAGGGCTAATTAAATGAAATGCTAAATCAAAAATCTCTTAAGATAATTATTGCTGATCTATATCGGTTTTCATCCGTAAAATCGTGTTTATTAACATTTCAACCATATTTTAAGAATAAAACGTCATACATTCTTCTCTTGCGACTAAGGAAGACAAGGTAGCTGTACCAGAAGGATAAAAATCCGGCAGGTGTACATTTTGCTCGGAATAATCTCATTTTCCTCTGCGCGGCACGTTGGGCTCCGGTTTCTTGCCTTGCTCATAGTCGCAAAGTCCCACTGGTAAATGCGAGTTGCTATTGTCGTGATTGGTCAGACGTGATAACTGTTGTTTTAGCGTAACATAAGCCTTTAAAGAAGCACGGTTATCTTCACAAATGATTTTACGAGATTCTTTCCAGTGACTAGTTCATGTTCTACGAAACATTTGTTTTATGTATTTGAATAAAATGATGTGGTTATGAGTTTTATTAACTTAATCAACACATTATCCTGATTAAATAATGGAATATAGCTAGTTTGTGATAAAATAAACTTCAATACAAGTCAAATTTTATAAATCCGGAAGTAACGTTTGTATATTTGGAATAGGGCTCGGGCTCGCTACGCATCCTATATTTTAACCAATAAGAACTACTTTGTTACTATTAAAACTAGAAGAATATTTTATTAGTAACATGAAATTCTCCCAAAAGTGACATATTACGACATTGCAATTTTAAATAAACTTAAAACATATGATGGTGCCTTTGATTTCCTGTGTCGTTATTCTTTAAGCGTAACATTTCTTAGTATTCTAACTTTATTTAGTCGTTTTAATAACTTATTAGTCTTTTTTATTTGTTTACCATCAAAATCCAATGGAAGTTGATACCCAGTCTCTCGGGCCAGAGAGACTAAGTAACAACTTTTCCCAATGAAAAATTATACCGAATGAAAGAAATGTTTAAGAAAGGCTAAATCTTCTGATACACGAACCTGTTTCATAAATGAAAGGCTAAATTGTTATTCTTTCAAATTCATGTAAATTAGCCTTCCTGACTGAAGTGAAGCCATCCACCATGAAAGAGGTGTTATCGGTCGAGTCAAAAGTTAGGCAGTGCGGGAAATAAGTCTGCGATCCTCAGCCGAATAAAGGAACCAAATACGAGAAAAAGAAGAATATGGGGCCTTCTCTCCCTATCGGGAACGTACTTCCTTTCGGTGAAGTCCTAGACGCTAATTATAATAATGCCACACTAACTGACGGATACGTGACGTATTACTCTGAAAGTCCCAAAGGCACGTGATGTGGAGAGATTTCCTTCGGAAATCAGTGGGGTAAGGATAGTTGATGTATCTTTGAGCCGGTAATTGTCACATGCCTAGTTTTTCGGTGATAAACGCGAAGTAGAGTGACCGTGATCTCAACACGTTAGGATGCTAAAGCCGAAAGTTCTGAACGAAATCTTGGGCCAGGCAATCAGTGGAGGAGTCATAAGCTCACTGTAAGTCTTCCAGCTTTAGCTTTCTTACACATACACTTTGACGCTTGAACACTGAGTTCAGCTTCAAGAGTTTGTAAAGATTCTTTTGTAACGGGTAAAGAACACTGTAAGGATGGCGTAGGAATACACTGTTGGTGGTTAAACTCGATTGCTATAACACTTAATTCATCGTCAAATGTAGATCATCCCTCTTCATTACTAAGAGTTCTTTAAACATGGCTTAAATCACAGGTGTAGGGTTGCCCGCACGTAAGGGTGATTAAACAGCGACCTACTCACGACCATGAAACTCAGAGAATGGTTAAAATTACGTGTCATGGTAGGGAAAGATTTGATGATCGCAGGAGTTACGAAAGTAAAACAAAATGAGTTTGTGTTAAGCTTGGTAGTTACCTGTTTATTCTTAGCGCTTCAGAATAAACACTTTTTTTATGAATTAATCTTTGCTAGTTCTTCCACACTCAGCCTTCTACTGAATTCCCTATGGATCGTATCTTTCATAAATAGTTATAATTGAACCAAAATTTAAACTATTTACATCATCACAATGTTTTGTTTGTTTTAAATCTAGATCGCAGTAATTTAAAAAAGAAGTAGTCAGGTCAGGGGTAATTACTACAGTGTATATGGCACTGTGAGTTTGACTCCAAATGACGGTCTCAATAGTCATCAGGAGTGATTTCCATTCCATGATTAGCAGCTCTATATGCACTGAGCATTCAAAGTCATCTTTTGGGTCAATACAGTGTACATCCCAACAATGCTTGGCAACAGATAACTTGTTCTTGCACTTATCCATCCACTGGTGTTAGTGTCTTGATGTATCTTATTACTAATTTAGATCACACTAGTCAAATGAAAATGTATAAAATGCAGTACACAATGCTGATGTAGAATAACTGTTTTAATGGAAATTGTCATATTAATGTTACACACAGACTGTATAAAACAACAATGGTTTAATTGCTTTTAGTCATGAATGTACATTTTAGGGAAAACTCTCTGTGACCATGAGGTCCCTGTCTAAGAATGTAAAATCACTGTACTTATGTGCATTGTGCTAAATTTAGTACAGAAAACTGATGTCATGACATTTCCCTCCTTGAACTCTCAACAGACTTAACATATGAAGGTGTAGTCTGATCGTCCGGGTGAGTGTAGTCCTGAGAAGGACTGTTGTCGGTGGCAGTGACTGACGTTTCGACAACCTGTGCGGAAGTCATCATCAGAGTCAAGTGAGTGATTGTTGTCAGTAGAATGTTCTTATTCCAGTTCGTGTGAAATGATCGGTTGGTTTTGCCGTGATGTTATTGGCTGTAAGACTCAAGTGACGTAAGTCGTTCATGATTGGTCTGTTTCGGTCTGTCGGTAAAGCTAGGTTGTTCTTTTTCGGTCCTTTGTGATGTTTATGTCGTGAATGAGTCGTTTGTATGGGGCGGGTAGTTGTTGACATCTGTTTAGGGGAGTCTGTTCTAAGTTAGTAAACCAGCTTTCCAGAGTCAGTCGTTGAAAATAGTCAGTGCTGTAGGTTAGGCATTGCGCAGAGTCCCAGTCAATGTTGTGGTTGGTAAGTCGATGGTGTTCAGCAATGTGATTGCTGACATCACCTTTCCTCGTCGCCCGTCTGTGTTCAGTCAGTCTTGTTGTGAGGTTTCTGCCAGTCTCACCGATGTAGGAGGCTGAGAACAAGACTGACTGAACACAGACGGGCGACGAGGAAAGGTGATGTCAGCAATCACATTGCTGAACACCATCGACTTACCAACCACAACATTGACTGGGACTCTGCGCAATGCCTAACCTACAGCACTGACTATTTTCAACGACTGACTCTGGAAAGCTGGTTTACTAACTTAGAACAGACTCCCCTAAACAGATGTCAACAACTACCCGCCCCATACAAACGACTCATTCACGACATAAACATCACAAAGGACCGAAAAAGAACAACCTAGCTTTACCGACAGACCGAAACAGACCAATCACGAACGACTTACGTCACTTGAGTCTTACAGCCAATAACATCACGGCAAAACCAACCGATCATTTCACACGAACTGGAATAAGAACATTCTACTGACAACAATCACTCACTTGACTCTGATGATGACTTCCGCACAGGTTGTCGAAACGTCAGTCACTGCCACCGACAACAGTCCTTCTCAGGACTACACTCACCTGGACGATCAGACTACACCTTCACATGTTACCCCCGGGTTCAAACCATTTACTGCAAGACTTAACATAACAGAACTATCTTGAAAACTTGTATACAGAAAACTAACTTTACATATTTTGAGGTTCAATCAGTCCATATAAAGCACAATCAAGGAACAAAGTCTCTAAGTAGTGCTGGCTTCTGCTTAATGCATCCACTGGATGTTCTCACTTCTGGTAGACTGGGCTGTACATTTGCAGAGGAGGCTCCCACCGTCATTACACTACAAAGTTTCACAATCTGTTATCGCTCTTCTAGTTCGGCATCTGGATATCCTGCACTTGGATCTTCTGCTCGTGATTCGAGCTCTAGATCCAGCTCTGGCTCCTCAGGTATCCCAACTCCATTGGGCCTTGTCACTTTATGCAGGTGTCTGCAGTTTCTATGCATCACGCTTAATGGTGTCTTGATGACATATGACCTAGGAGTATAGCTTATTGCAATGACTTTTCCAGGTGTCTTCCATCCTTTTTGTTGGTCTAGCTTGACACTGACTACATTCCCTGGCTGTAGTTCAGGAAGTGACTTCACTCCATGCCCCTTATCAAAGTATTGATGATAGGTAGTTTTGGCTTTCTCATCCTTGCTGCTAACTGCTTCTTGGTTTGGGAAAACTGGCTTCAAGTTCGATTCCAGTGTAGGTAAAAGGGTGCGAATTTCTCTTCTCATCATCAGCTGACAAGGGCTTGCACCTGTGGCTGTATGGGGCGTTGCTCTATAGGACATACATACATAGGTTAATTGACGACTCCCAATAGGGGCTTTTCAGGGCCAATACCCACCCATCCCATCCAGGTGAGGACAACCACCACACAGTAATCTCGTGTGCGGGAAATTAATGTCTCCTACCCCTAACCCTGCAGGAGACGAGGCCTACGGTTTATTCGTCCTTATCCGAGAAGGCTAGAATATCTATCCATTTCTTGATGAGCACAAGAAAGGGATCCTGTTTCCTCAGTATCTTTTTGGCTATGGGAACTCCACTTTCAGCTTCTCCATTTGCTTGTAGGTATTAAGGGGTAGTAGTGTTATGCTTGAAGTCATACTCGTGGCTTAACTTGCAGAACTTATCGAAAGAGAATTGTGGTGCATTGTCACTCACAATTTCGTCTGGTACTCCCCATCTGGCAAAGATATCCTTGAGCTTATTGATTACAGCGTTGCTGGTGGTACTGGACATGTAAGCAACCTCTGGAAATCTCGAATAATAGTCAATGACCACTAGAAACTGTTTTCCCTCATGTTCGCACAAGTCTGTGCCAGTCTTCTTCTATACTCTTTCTGAAAGAGTTGTAGTGATGAGTGGCTCTTTTCTCTGACTGGGTAGATTCTCTTGACAGAATTCACAATTGAAACTTTGTTTTGAATGTCACGGCCAGTGCCAAGCCACCAGACTGACATTTTGGCTCTTTCGCGACATTTGGTCACACCCTGATGTCCGTCCTGGATACGTTCCAATACTTTGGACTGTAAAGAAGCAGGTATTACTAGACAGTTGTGATAAAGGATCTTGCCATCTGCTGCTGAGAGGTCACCACAGACTGCATGGTATGGGCAGATTTGCTTGGGTACACCTTTAGCATACTTGGGCCAACCATTAACAGTATAATCAAGAACACGCCACAGCTGAGGATCAGATGAAGTCGATGGCTTAATCTGTTTCAACTTCTCATGTGATACCGGACAAACCATTTCAGCAGTGTCAACATATGCTTTTACTTCACCTTCCATGTCTGACGTTTGTGAGGGGGCTGCAAGTGGATTTCTTGAGAGAGTATCAGCAACCACTAGTTCCTTTCCAAGCACATGTTCAGCCTTGACTTTAAATCTCATCATGCGCATAAGAAGACAATGACATCTTAAGGGTACTCTATCCATTAATTTAGGTTTGACTTGGGTGTACTTCTTTTCTGAATTGGTCAGAGTACATGAGGCAAACACAACGGGACGAAGTTGACCACCATGTTTCTGTAGAAGAACACCACCTAACCCATAACTGCTAGCATCTGCATTGACCACTGTTGGTTTGTTTACGTTGTAGAAGGCTAGTACAGATGCTGTGCTTACCATGGTGTTGACCTTCTCAAAGGCTTCCTGTTGGCAATGGGACCAAATGCGGGTACTGTCAGATTTCAGCAATTTGCTCATTGGACTTATTACATGTGACAGGTTTGGTAGGAACCTTCCAAGAAAGTTAATCATTCCAAGTACTTGACGCAATTCCGATACATTCTGTGGTGCAGGAAGTTCCTGAATTGGTTTAGCTTTCTCAGTCTGGGCTAACTCCTTTGCTAATGACGCTTCCAAAGTAGCATATCTTAGGCTTGTGGATTTCACATTTCTTCTCATTTAGCTTCAATCCGGACCTTGCAATCGTCTCAAACACTCTGTGAAGTATTGCATCATGTTTTGATATGGTTCTCCCATAGATAATGATGTCATCTTGGATTGCGACCACACCTTCCTGGTCTTTTAGGAGGTTGGTCATTCTTTTCTGGAAATTTTCTGGAGCAGATGTTATCCCAAATGGGAGTCGGCCAAAACAGACCAACTTTTATCACACCCAGACCACTGGGTGTGATAAAAGTTGTCAGCCTTTGGTAGGAATGGTATTTGCCAATAACCGCTTGAGGCATCCAATTTCGAAAACACTTTGGCTCCTGTCAGTTTCGGAGCAACATCTTCTAGGGTAGGAAGAATGTACCTTTCTCTCTTAACAGCTTCGTTCAATTTCCTTTGGTCAACACAAATTCTGATTTTACCATTGGGCTTTACAATAAGAACCATAGGAGCACACCAGTTGGTTGGTTCTGTAACTTCTTCTATGATGCCTGCTTCCAGCATTCAATTTAACTCATCTTTCACTTTGGGAAGTAAAGGAAACAATTTTCCTGGCGGTATTAATGCAACATAGCTCCATTTTCTGCCTTTAAAAGCACACACAACCCACAATTCCTCTATTCGGTCCAACGAAGGGCTAACGCTCGAAACGTCAGCTTTTGTAATCATTACAGTGGCCAATTTACCATTTCAACTTGGTTGATATATCCAAATTAATGCAATACGGCTTTGCATTGTCGGTGAGTTCAATCTTTACATGCTCACAGTTCATTAGACCACATCTCCAAACACATTGGCAGCAGATTCTTCTACGCGTTGGACTAGACCCATTTGGCATGCTGACAACTTAGAAGGTTGTTTACACAGACTCCTTTGATGACATAAATAGCAGTAGAGTATGGTTTGTTCTTAAGGGAAATTTCCGCTGTAAACTGGCCTTTACACTTAAGCATTCCACCTGGACTAGACAGCACAGCATTCAAAGGCTTTAGCTTAGGACGCTGAGGGAGGGCTTCATAAGTAGATACTGACATTACTGAGATATCAGCGCCTGTGTCAATTTTGAACTTGATGGGCTTCTTGTTAACGTATAACACAACACTCCACAGCTCTTCGAATTCATCACAAGAATTAACAGCTCCAAGGAAGGATTCCTGATTATTTCATTCCAAATTTGACGTTACTTCTCTCACAGAGCGGCAAACAACCACAAAGTGACCTGATTTGTGACATTTTGAACATCTTTTCCCTCTTGCTGGGCAAATTTCATCTTGTTTATGTACGCGATTACACCTTGAGCAAGGTTGAACTGGCAGACTATTCTTGGGTTTTTTGTCATTCGTGTCACAAACCGGTCTTCTTCCTGAATGGGGTTTTCCTTTCTTTTGATGTATTTCTCCCAGGTGCTTGGTATCTGACTGGCCTGTAACTTGAAATTTTACCAGCTCGAACTGACGCACCATTTATATCGCAGTGTCAAGATTCAAATCTGATTTCATCTGCAGTTTTTGTGAGAGTGATTTATCCAGAATTCCAATAACAATTCTGTCTCTGATTTGCTCATCTCTCTGTGTTCCGAAGTCACAACGTTCAGCCAACTCGTACAGATTTCGAATGAAAGCTTCCACTGCTTCTCCTTCTCTTTGCACACGGCAATGAAAACATGCTCGCTCGTGAATAACATTTTTCTTCGGTACAAAGTGCTCGTCGAATTTCTCAATGACCTTGGCGTACTTCTTTTTGTCGCCCTCTGCAAATGTAAACGCTTTGAATATGTGTTCTGCCTCTTTTCCCATGGTGGAGATAAGGGCATTTATCTGAAGAACCTCGTCTTCTTTGTTAAGTTTCGTAGCACATCTGAATCACTCAAAACGCTGCTTCCAATCCGGCCACTCTTGAGGCTTAGCAAAGTTGAGCATCTCTGGCGGGTTGAGCTTCAACATTTTAGTTCACTGCTTCACCGTTTCACACTTCACCACTGCCACCATGTCATATTAATGTTACACACAGACTGTATGAAACAACAAGCTTTTACAGTCAAACTAAGTGAAGCATACCCCTCAAGATTACATTAATGAATTGATTATTTGATTATTGAACCCGCTAGCCATTTCATGAATGCAATAGTGGATTGATTATTTGAATATTGAACCCACCAGTCATTTCAAGAATGCAATTATAATGGAGTGATTATTTAATTATTGAACCCGCTAGCCGTTTCACAAATGCAATAATGGATTGATTATTTGAATATTGAACCCGATAGCCGTATCCATTTTGAAAAGGCGCGGATCATTGTTCAAATTAGAAGTCCATTTCTGAAGTCCAATAAGATTGTTCTATTTTGACGAGGAATCCTAAATCCTAAAAATGAACAAACTGCACTGTAAAAACACTGCGAAAACAGTCGATCGTAAATATTAACGAAATAAAAAGTCTTGCTATGGCTTCACCCGTAAACTATTTTTTTCGACCATGAATACACACAAGAATTTCTACAAGTTCGTCAAGATGTAAATAGGCAAAAAAAGCTCTCGATAACATTCCCTTTACGACATTTACAAGAAGTTCTACACAACACTCGCACCCACCTTTCCCTCCATGTCTGACGCCATGTTGAAATAGTTCCGATCCATCATCACGTGTTCGCATAATCCAATCAGAAATGGACTTCTGATTTGAACAATGATCCGCGCCTTTTCAAAACGAATACGGCTATCGGGTTCAATATTCAAATAATCAATCCATTATTGCATTCTTGAAACGGTTAGCGGGTTCCATGTTCAAATATTCAATTCGTTATTGCGCTCCTGAAACGATTAGCGGGTTCAATATTCAAATAATCAAATCATTAATGTAATCCTGAGGGGTACGCTTCACTTAGTTTGACTGTAATTGCCACGTGCACGTTGACCAAATTGATATTATTCTTCAAGCTATGATCGCATAATACTTGGGTAATTTCTTCACGTAATAATTTCAGTTGACCGCTTCGATATAAGAACACCTCAAAGGATAGGAAAGAAATAAAGAAAGAAAATATCCTATATTGGTTTGGTTTTTATCGCACTGTGCCCGTGGATCAACTCGAGAATCGAGTGCGAATTTTGACTTGAAAGGAAACATTTACAAAGAGCCTTAAACGAAATTTGACACTCTCATTACCCTCTTCCGCCCCTGATCATAGATTTCATGATCCGCCCTTTATAAACCACCCCTTCAATCAAAATTCGTGGAATCATTATTTTAGGGTTTCTTACTTTGATGAGTAGTCTTACCTTGATGGTGGCAACAGATTTCTGTGAAAGAAGGCACAGTAAATAAAGATTAGTAGCAGCCTCGCTCAGTCACACTAATTCTCTGATTTTACAGGCTAAACATCCCAAAATTACACAACCCACAATCGGCCAATTTTGACGAGCCATACCCCACTGCATGTCTCCCGGTTAGCTCAATTGGTTAGAGCGTTGGACTGTTGTGCGGGAGGTCGAGGTCGATGTCGATGGTTCGAGCCCCGGCCGGACCAACTCTCAAGGTCTTAAAATAACTAAGGAGAATGCGCTAACTTTCTACAATATCAAGAAATGGATAAACATTCTAGTCTTCTCGGATAGGGACGAATAAACCGTAGGTCCCGTCTCCTGCATCTATTATTAATTAATTTGGTTAGGCAGGAGACGTTAAAGAACCCACTCNATATATATTTAGTTACTTTTAGAGGACCCCTCTGTAAACCACTTTTTTGTGATGTTGGCATCCTCAATAAAGATTAACTATTATTATTATTGTTAGAATGATTGGGTAAATTAAAATGTCTAGCGACTGGTTTCAATGTGTCCCTGTCATTCCTTTCCACGTCGCGAAGGTGTTCTCGGAATCGGTCACCTAGTCTTCTGCCTGTTTTGCCGATGTATATCTTTTTGCAATAAGTGCAAGTTATGCGCTTATTGCAAAAAGCTTATTGTGTTTTTTGATGACCGGCTACTAAAAAAGTTTCTGGGGAACACTTTTCCAGTGATTTCCTTTTCCTTATTACACTTATTACACTTATTACACCAATTGTAAGATTGGCAAGTCCACCAAAGAACTTCTGGCATCAATTCCTGTTTTGCTCTGTACTTATCATTATGTTAAAATAAATGTTGTACATCTGTTTATTCAGTACTTCTGTTGTAGAGCTCTGACAAGGTTATGAGGTTCGTTCAACACTGGCTGTGGTCGCAGTACAGAGTTGAATCACGATTAAGGCACCTCTAATCATGCTTTAGCTAATTCACAAGTGTGACCCCAAAATAATTGTTTTTTCAAGATCATGGCCAATGAGAATGTAATTGACACCACAAAGCAGTAAGACCTAAAGCACATTTTAAAGTGTCTAAAATGTAGGATTTATCTTGAGATTTATCTAAAGCTTGTCAATTAAGCCAATCATGTCCTTGCACAAATATTATTGTTACACAGGTATTTTAATGCATGTGCAAAAGTTTTGCTCCGGAGAAGTACTCATTTATCCTATCGAGCAGTATTCTGAAATTTATTGTATGATAGCCGAAGAAAATGTTGGAACAGTAAGGTACAGACCATGCTTCCAAATTGAGAATACACTTCCAAGGAGGAGGTAGGCACACAAATTCTAAGGCATTTTCATTAAAAGGTAAAACAAGGATTGATTTCGCTAATTTCCCACTTATCAGTACCTGGCAGCCAGGAGCTTAATAAGGCTTAATCATGATTGCAATCTCTAGTGCAACCACAGCCACTGAATATCTTAATTTAAGATTAAAGAATTGAATTGTTGTGCTTGTTAGTTGAGTTTGTTATGAGTGATATTTTCTTTCTTTGTTCAGGAGGGAAAAGTTGTCATAACAAGGGTGGCTAATCTAATCCTGTGTCTTTATGCACAACAATCTGTAGGACTTGGAATGCTCAAAGCAAAGGTATGTCCATATTCCTTCAGTCCGTTCATCTAGTATTCCTTCCCTTTCATGCCCACTACATGTGATTTTGAAACCAAATGTATTGACCAGGTAGTACAAGAGTATATTCAAATGAATTTTTTACAGCAAATTTGTTTATATTTTTATGTTTCAACAGGCAGAGGCATTAGCTGGATACCTTGAGCAACCACTAAAACAAGTTGCAACATCATGACAAGATGATTTATATATCAAATGAATTTACCCATACATAGACCTAGGTTTACAAAACTATTAAACATTACCTAGTGAATATGATTTACTAGAAATCTTGAACTCTTGCTTCACCTTGTGCTGCCTTGATTTAGATTAGTCAATCCTCTGTTGGAGTTGAAGGGTTCAAAACTTTCAGAAGTGGTTAGAAAGTAATCTATCATCTCTGTCTAATAAAAACTCACTAGCCTTCATTTGGTCTGAAAATGTTCTAAGGTAATAGTCCATGGACAATGTCTGTTCCAAGAAGTGAACAGTAATACTGTTAATTGAAGGCAGAGCCTGAAGAAAACTGTGAGCCTCAAGGAACAGATGTCCAAGGGCTAATATACAATCAACATATCCATGCCAAGATGAAGCTATTGTATTTCATATCCATCAGATATATTTCGAAGCATATTAAATGAAATATGCACAATTCACTGATACCAGAAGACTTTTAATGCTTTATTAATGTGTGGTTTGAAAATTAGGGAACATTATTGGATATTCCAAAGTTTTACCAGTGGCATATTTAGTCACCTGGTACATCTAAGCCAATTATGCCTACTGTAAAACTAAAATGTTTGATGGAAGTCATTTCCAGTGATCAGGCACAAGGTCTTATATTGATGTAAATCCAAATTCTGGCAACTGATTTTAAGGAGTGTGTAGCAGTCAAAAAGGAGAATTAAAAATTGAATTGAGAGTAGTTAAGAGTCAGAGTAAATTTGGTGGTGGAATTCACAAATGAAGCTGATTATTACAATGTGTGAAAGACGATCAGATACATCGTCTTCAAGTGTTAAAATAAAATATGCAAGTTAAAAAAGAAATGTGGAGTTGAGTTGTCAAAACATCCAACATGTTAGTGTTGGGAACATCAACGTTTTTTTAAACTTCAGTGTGATGTGATTCTCAGGTGACATTGGTCACTATCAGGTTGCAAGAATCTCCAGGTTATTATGAGTGTAATTCCTGCTGCCCTTGCTGAAAGCAAATGCTAATAGGGTGTTTAGCCAGAGTCTGCAGAATTTAAATAAACTGTTTGAGAGTACTAAGTGTTTTGTTCTTATTCTTTTATTTGCCATTTGAAAGTCTTATTTGTCAAACTGAGCCTGCAGTAATTTTTGTGAATGGACACTAAGTAACAATATTACTTTGCAGAATGTTTGCCAATGCTTTCTATTTCTAAGAATAATTTTTTTGGAGAAAAAAATATCAATATTTCTACCACCCTAGGACTAGCGAAAAGGATGTTAGCTCATGGACTTAGCACAACATCGACTATGGGATAGCATAACTAAGCACTTATCACATTCATGCAGGTGTGCATATGAGATGGGAATCTGATAAGTGATGCCAAGTAAACTTCTAAAAAACATTCATGTAAGCTACATGTAACATGAAGCCAATATGTTCCTTGATGGAGTGAAATTTGGTTAATATTTTATTTGTAACAACAGAATTACAGTTTCCCATTAAATCAAAGTGTTCAACTACAAAAACACTACATGCACAGTTTTGTGTTTCCCTTAAAATACTCAACAACACAAATCAAATACAAACTGTACAAAAATTTCTAAATGTAACAGTTTTCATCATCAAAACTACATTTGACTAAAACTCTCAGATAGCTACTGACTTTGATTAGAATAGCGAGAACCTCATATTAACTCTGCCATTTTGAACTGCTATTCTGTCTTTGGTTGAGACATTCAAGCCCTTAAACACAAAAAATCTCACAAACATGCTCCTGTTGTAACTACTGGAGTCAAAAATAATAATAAAAAAAAGGTTTAATGGACAGTTTTCTGAGAGATGTGCTCAGCACAAACACAGATTCAAAACTAGCCAACGTTAATTTCAACCAATGTTAACAATCAATCGTCACTTTCATCACGTCTTTCATCATGTCTTTCATCATGTCTTTCATCATGTCTTTCCTCGGGTGATGCAGCCCTTGCTGGCTCAGGAGATCTTGAAGGTGTTCGTGAACGCTTTGTTGCAGGGGCTGGTGACCTTGACGCAGAGCGACTTTTGGACCGAGAGTAAGACCTGTGGATCAAACATAAAAACTTTCCATTATACATAACGAACAATAAAATACAGTGTGTCTCTGGTGTCTGTTTTTCCCATACAATCCTAACAACAATAACTTATTGTTCAACTACACAAAGACAAAGATTCTTACGAGCACAGGTCATCCATTTTCTTCCCTCACTCTTCCTACATGTACACTTGACTCATGTTAAACTATAGTACACAAAGTACCTTGAACGCCTCTTAGGTGATCGTGAACGAGAACGAGATCGTGAACGGGACCTTGAGCGGGACCTTGAGCGAGAGCCCTTTCTGTAACTACTGCGTCTTGGAGGGGAGCCATGATGGCCTTTATCCTGCAAAAGGGAAGAAATGTTTGAATCATCTATATTCATTTCAATCACATGATGCTTATCTAAAAGTAGTTCACCAGCCAATTTTACAGTCAAACTTAGTGAAGTGTACCCCTCAGGATTACATTAATGATTTGATTATTTGAATATTGAACCTGCAAATCATTTCAGGAGCACAATAACGAATTGAATATTTAAACATGAAACCCGCTAACCGTTTCAAGAATGCAATAATAGATTGATTATTTGAATATTGAACCCGATAGCCGTATTCATTTTGAAAAGGCGCGGATCATTGTTCAAATCAGAAGTCCATTTTTGATTAATTACGCAAACACGTGATGATGTATCGGAACCATTTCAACATGGCGGGAAAGGTGAGTTCGAGTGCTGTGTAGAACTTGCAAATGTTGTAAATGTAATGTTATTGAGAGCTTTTTTTGCCTATTTACATCTTAACAAACTTGTAGAAATTCTTGTGTGTATTCATGGCCAAAAAAAATAGATTACGGGTGAAGCCATCACAAGGCTTTTTTTATTTCGTTAATATTTGCGATCGACTGTTTTCAGTGTTTTTACAGTGCAGTTTGTTCATTTTCAGGATTCCTTGTCAAATAGAACAATCTTATTGGACTTCAGAAATGGACTTCTAATTTGAACAATGATCTGCACCTTTTCAAAACGGATACGGCTATCGGGTTCAATATTCAAATAATCAACCATTATTGCACTCGTGAAACAGCTAGCAGGTTCGATAATCACACAATCAATTTATTATTGCATTCTTGAAACGACTGGCAGTTTCAATATCCAAATGATCAATTCCTTAATGTAATCTTGAGGGGTATGCTTCACTTAGTTTGACTGTAAAAGAGTATGTACTGAAACTTACTGAATAAAAATTACACATGTAAGAAACACTAGGCTGAAAACATGTAAGCACTGATTGTGCACAAAATTACAACAACAATAATAATAATAATAATAGTAATAATAATAATAATAGTAATAATAATAATAATAATAATAATAATAATAATAATAATAATAATAATGCTGCACCAGGCCAGGAGTGCCACTCATACAGTGCATGTATAAATTTATCACCCTGGGTATTTCATAGCAACAAATTCTACTCAAAATAGAGAAAAGAGTATAACAAACATCCTCTTGAAAACACTTGCACACTCACTTCAACAAGGCGAATCCTTTTGCCTCCAAGTTCTGTATCGTCAGCTTTCCTGATGCAGTCCAGCATGTCATCACGACTCTCAAATTCTACACATCTACCAAAACAAAACATTTTGACTTCAGTATGCATGTTTGGGATGTGTTTAAATTAATGACAATTTTAGTAAATTCCATGCAAACTTCACTACAATGCTATTAATTCTTGTTTCAAGTAAATTTCAATTTTAAGATCCATACCCTTCTCCAACACTCTTTTTATGCGCATCAGCATAAGTTAGTTTTGCATTGCTGACCTGGCGAAGATGGTCTTTCAGGTCCTAACACATAATCAGACAACAGAATGTTAGAACCAGTGATTCAATAACAATCTACTTTGAAAGAAACAACATAAAAATCTAACATGTGAGCCACACAACATTTTCCCCAATATTCAAAGACTTTGTCATCTCCTTAAAGAGCAAACTTTCCAAGTAGATCCAACATGAAATTTTTATGATTGTTCCCTCCTCAATGAAGAATTTTTCACCAGCCATTTTATGATTTGTGGCAACCATGACGAAGAAATACAAGTCTTGTGTCAAAATACTCTTTTCCTTGAACAGTTGAACGAGGTTAAACATATAACCTTATACTAGTGAACATACAGTAATTTTATTTAATTGTTTTCAAAATGCTGATGATATTCTCAAGAAATCAGAAGCAATGTGCAGATTGTCATAATTTTATCAAAAAAAGTTAAGTTCCTATTCATCCCAATTCTTTTACAGCAGATTTAAGTTACCAATCATCTTTTAATCTTAAACAGCAGAGAATGATTGGCTATCTCTTTTGGATTGAAACCCAGAAAGGGAAGACAATCGCCTTCTCTCTTCCTTACCTGAGTCTACAATACAGTACACCTCTCTTCAAATTCTCACAAATCACAGATTTAGTTTAGTATCTTCAGAGATGACAAGCAGACTTCTCATCAATCACTGTACCCATATCACATTAAGTCACTTCACATCGTTAATTTGCAAGCTTTCACAACCATCGCAAAGCAGTGACACGCAAGGGGAATCTCCCTCAGTTTAGGAAAAGATCCAACATCATTTGTAATCTTTGCTTAGTGAATATCGAGCGCTTAATCCTTAACGCCCTGTCAACAAACAAATGAAAAAATACTAAATTGGGAATCTCTTCTCTGTAAACTAAATTGCCTGCTGTCAATCCCTGACAAAACTTTGGTATGAAAAGCAAATCGACAACAAAAAAAAATCAGTTGCTCCATTAAACCAGTACCTTACATTATATCTAACATTATTCTGGTGCATTCTAAAAATAAACAGTATATACAAAATGAAACAAAAAAAAAATACAGCAATAGCATAGGAAAATACATGATTACATTAACAATAAAAGTCAAGTCAAATGTTTACCATTGATTGAAAAGAGAAGCCAAAGTTTTCCCTATGGAGGAATAATGGTACAGGGCCTTCTAACACTGTATCAAGAATCTCTTAGTTCACACAAGTTGTCTAACAATGATTCAGATTTGATTTCACTGCAACCCCCTGCTTATAAAAGATACAACACAACTAAGTAATTACAGGTACCTGCCAACTTGTGCGACTTGACATATTTTCCACGATAACACGGTACTGTGTTCTTACTGGAGGCCCATACCTTGACCCCCAGTAGGGACAAAAACAAAAGAAATTTGTATAAATTCAAAGTCTCTGAGCAGTATTAAAAAAAAGGCTTAGAAAATTAAAACAGTAATTAAGGAAATGTCTATAAAATACTATCAATACTTGTCCAGCCAAACAGGTCTTCGGCCACCATAGCTTCCTCCGCCTCTTCCTCCGCCGCGCCCACCTCCTCCACCACCACTTCTCTTTCCTCTGGCCAACTCTAATGCAACACTAAAAAAGAACATCAAATTTACTTCAGCTTTAGATTCATAGGGGCG